TTCCTGGCCACCTCTGCTCTTCCTCCACAGTGGCACTGGTCAAACAATACGAGCTATGGGGACTCAGACAGCTGCAGTTCTGTAGCAGAGATGAGGTTTGAAAGCCTGGCTCTCCGTGGAAGAGTCCCAGGGTGCTGTTTTGGTTGTTCTGCTTTTGGTTCTTATTCAAAAAGTGCTTTTCAGTTTTAAACCCCACACTCCTGGAGGACTTTGTAACTCCACTCTCAACAGACCTGGCACCCCTTCTAAACTCTGAGGACACGCATATGGGGCATATACATCCAGGAAAAAATACTCACATAAAGCAAATAAATCTAAAACTTTAATATATAAAGCCAAGCATGGCGGTGCATAACTATAATCCCAGCACTTGGCAGCTGGAGGTAGGAGGATCAGGTGTTCAGCTCAAAGTCATTCTCAGCTACAGAAGAATTAAAAAAAGAGAAAAAATCTAACAAAGGAAGGCATGAGATAAAATCTGGGGGTGTTCGGTGAGGTCTATTGGATTGGGAGTGCCGGGCCATAGAGAATACCTGATCCCCGAAGACTGGAGTCTCAGAAAGTCGTGACACTCTGTAGATACTAGGAATCAAACCCAGGACTTCTGATAGAACAGCCAGCGGGTTCAACCCCTAAGCTATCTCTCCAGCCCCAAGCGGTTGTCATATGAGGGGCAGCCGGGTGAACCCAAAGATTCCCATTCTCCATCCTGTCTCAGGCAGTCATACAGCGCTGGATCCTCAGTGGTCTTGAAGCACCTTGGAGACCTTGGAGGTGGCCTTGCCGTGTGGCCCCACAGGCCAGCTGTTTGTCTAAGGGACAGTGACAGCATCTATTTGTCAGGCGAGGAACCAAGAGTGTGACCTTCAGTTGCTTAACCAAAGTCTGTTTTCCCAGCTTGCAAGTCCTTGTCCAGTCTGAATATGCCAAACAGAGCCAGGAGTACAAATGCATTCATGTAGCCCTCTGCAAAATCCCATCTGGTGTAGTCTGCAAAGGCCAACAGTGGGCCTTTTCAAGTGTAACTAGGGAGCACTTGGGAAAGTCAGCTCTGAGTTTGCAGATGGGAGCATCCAGGTAGGGCCAGAGTTCACAGGGCTTGTGGGGGCTCCCTGCACAGGGAGCATTTGCCTGATTACACACCAACCACACTTGGTCTCTGGGTTAATGCTGCCCTCTGGCTTGAACAAACCTCCATTCAAACTGGTGAGCTCCCAGGCGAGAGGCTGGAAAAGGGGCCTGCTGATCCTTCAGGCCTGTTAGCTCTGAAACTGCCAAACAAGCCCCTGGATATTCCTCTGGCTCTGTGCCACCCTGTGAATCCCAAGGGCTCCTGCTTATCAGCCCATCCCTGCCTGCAACACCAGAGTCCACACTCGGGTGGAATGTGTTGGGTCACTTACCCTTAGAGCATGTCTTTGTCATGTGTGCTGGGGTTTTACAGCTATGCACCACATAATTCCTGACTCCTGGCTAAAGCACAACTTTTTTATTCAGCCCTGCTCCCTTAAAAAAAGGGGGGGGGGGGTTGCCTTAGACTGTCTAGGTAGTCAAGGATGATCGTCAATTCATGAATTCCTGATCCCCGTGTCTCCACCTCCCCAGTGCTGATAGTGCTGGCCTGTGCCATTTACCCTTCCCTTCTTTACTACATATGGCAGATCCCTTTCAATGTCCTTTGAAAACAAGGGCTTTAATCTTCGGATACTTAAAGAACAAAATTAAATTATATTTTTGAAAACATTTTGTTGGCATTAATACAAATGAAGGAGGAAGAGATACGATTGGACAGTGAGGCAGATCCTCTACAGTGTAGACCAGAGAACAACCTGGAACCCTGGCGGCTGGAGACTGCAAGGTGCCATGGACATGGGCACAAGCCAGCAGACTAAGCCAGGAGTGGTTTTAATCCACTGGCTGGCTTTTGCTGAAGACAGGCTGTTACACAGAAATAAGAGGCAACCGTGAGGGGTCCGGCCTTGCCCTTGCCTGACTTGATTCCCAGTTGGGCATCAGTGCAAAACCCCCCACAAAAATGCAGGATTGGTACCCATTGTCAGGCAACTTTTGTTCCTGGGCCCTGCTGGGAGAGCCTCAGGCTGGAAGCCAAGCTCTGTGAGGACATGGTGCCTCTGATCTAGGCCTAAGGGTCATGGCCCCTCTCTGAAAGGACAGCTTTGAGATGAAGCCAGTCTCTCTCTGGGCTCTGTGGTCTCTCTGGGCTCTGCTTGCTTTGTCTAACTTACCTCCTGGTTTCTACAGACACCCCAACTACTCCAAAAAAAAAAAAAAAAAACCTGTC